CTCTCACCTCCTTGCAACTGCTGTTTATAGTCTGGGGCACAAGGGGTTTATCTTTGGTGACTGCTTTCACTGGGACCTGCAAGGACTGGCTTTGTGCTGGCTGCTGAGCCACATTTGGGGTCTAAATTTTGGTTCCTTGCACAGGAGTCTCCATCTCATTGCTCTCCCCCCACGCTATGGGACTGTCCGGGTGGAAAAGGTAAAGCCCAGTGGTGTATGAAGGAGGAAGTGGTGGTGTTGCCGGGCAAAGAGGAGGTGAAAAGGAAGGGAATAAAGCACATCCAGTTCAGCATGTATGCTGTGCTGGATCTTCCCACTCAGGTCCAGCTGCAAGGATGTGCCAGGCAGAGCAGCCCTGCCTTCTGCTGTCTTATCCCAGGGTGGTTCTGCTGTCTTCTGGCTGCAGTTTTGGACAGAGCAACATAGCTGTGAATAGTTAAACTGAGCTGAACAGAACTGTGGTGTCCAAGAAGGAAAATTGCATCATATCTGTAAGTCACCCCAGGATGTGTTTTCTGGGATTAGTAGTGTTGGAACCTTCAGAGCTAGAACAGGAGAACAGCAGTGATAGTCTAATCTCCAACTTTTGTATCCAGGGATGTGGTAGCAGCTGTTCCTCTGTCCTCCTCAAACCTAGTAGCTCTCAGCAATGCATCTTCAGCCCCTGCAAACCCCCTCTGGCTCCCCTGAAAAGTAGGAGGTGGGCTGCAGTTGCTGCATGTGCCTAGTTTTAACTCATTCAGTGCAAGGGAAAAGTATCCATAGGAGATAAAAAAAACAGTGACAGCAATCCAGCATGTGGGAAAAGAAATTTCTCTCAATTGAAATGGAAGAGGGGCTGTGCAGGACTTTTGGTAGTGCTAATGAGTGAGGACTTCCCAAAGGTACCTGCCACCCCTGGTGACAGGGTTTTCCTGCTGCTCTGCTGCACTTTGCTGTTTTCTGCCGGTGTCAGCCAGGCGTGTCAATGAGGAAGGAAGGCAGATCAGCTCAGTGCACCTTGGCATGAAATTAACTCTGCTGTAGCTATTTATACAGGGGAAAAAAATCCCCCATTTATTCCCTGTTCTAACAGAAATGCTGAGCTCTGTCATGCCAGTTGCACAAAGGACATAACAGCTTTCTCTGGGCTCCTGCAAGGGTTGACTCTGCAGGTGGGCGACAGCTTTGCTCCCACACAGTCCTGGGGCTGAGCTGGCTGCCCTCCTGCAAGCTGGTCCCCACCTTGTCTGGAGCTCTCCTGTTGCCACCAGGCACCACGGGCCTGCGTCCTGGCAATCCCTGGGCCCTGCACTGCAAGGGCAGGGTGCTGCAGCACTGGCTGCCTGCTGCAGCTGTGCTCCCACAGCCCCAAACCTGAAATGGTGCTGCTCCCAAGGATGCCCAGGGGCTCCTGTGACGCTGGGCTGGCACTGCTCCTTCCTGCCACGAAGGATCCCTGCAGTGACACTGGAGATGTGGCTGCTGCTGGCTTGTCTTCTCAGCAGCTCTTTTAGAGGGGTGTTAGAGGTGGCTGTAGCTGGTTAGGTGCTTGGTGCAGCTCCTGTGTAATGGTGCTGCTGTGTCAATGTGGCTACATCTGCCAAAGCTTCTGTCCCCTGTGACAACACATGACTGAAAGCTCGTCCGTGCAGCATATTTGAGACTGAAAGGCTGTTTGGAGCTGGAAACTGGGTGTGATGGAGGGTTTGGGTGTGATGGGGCTGGTAAAATGGAGACCAAGGGAGGTCTCAGCTCATACCTGTGCATCAGAAGGACATTCCCATGTAGCCTGAAAAGCCATGCAGGGCACAGCTCTCTGGCCGCATACACTGGCACATGGCAGCAGCCACATGAGGGGAAAAACGACTTTTCCCTGTGTTGTGACATTGGGGGGCAGGGGGGCAGGGAGCTGGGGCAACTCCCTGGGCCTGAGCACTGCGGGCAACCAGGAACTCGAGCTGTGGGCAAGAAACACAGGCTCCTTTTAGGCTGTTATACAAAGCTGTAGGCTGAGTTTCACCAGTGCTTAAAGGAGCTTTGTTCTCTGTGCTGGTCAGAGGCTGATTTCCCAGTATCTTAAAAAGAAATCTTGTTTTTAGCCTCAGAAAAAAGCTTTTTAATTTACAAAGGCATGGCATTTTTCTTTTCCCTCCTCCCCCGCCCCGCAATGGCTACTGTTCCTTGGACAATGCTGCTCTTTGCTGCCTTCTGCTCTTGAACTTGTATTTCTTGATCGCTGGTGAAAATAGAGCTTGTCAGAGTTTTATTTTTCTCTGGAATTTGCTGTAAACCACCAGCTATTCTTCACCTCCCACGCTCTGGGGGGAGGTGAATTGCACTTGCTGGTGCCTGTGAGCTGGGAAGGGCCAGTTCACGTGCCGACCTCTCTGGCTGCTCTGGGGAAGTCCCCCCCCAGCACCTGGGGAGCACAACAACATTCCAGTCATGGGGCAGCAGGTGCTGCTGCCATGCAGGGCTCAAGACACAGCTCCTGGGTGGATTAGTGAGGGATGGGCTGTTGCATTAGTGTTCCTTTTTATTGAAAATGTCCTCTTTTACCACACAGCTGTAAAGTCAGTCGCACAAACCCTTTTCACCTGCCAGCTTCCTTAGCTCCAGTAGGGTACAGTGGGGGTTGCATCTCCTGCAGGGCCAGCAGGGACTCTGCCTGCCCTTTTTCTCCCTCACACAGGTGAGGAAGGCTCAAATTGCCTCCTGAGGGAGGAAAAGCTGGCAGGAGGCCTCATGAGATGAGAACATGGGCCAGAGACAGCCCATGCCCATGAACTAGTCTCTACCTGACCCAAGGCATGGGGGAGTGACCTGGTCACC